GTCACCTTCCACACATTGACTCCCCATGGATACTGTCAGGAATGCGGTACGGGACCGCTTGTGTTACTTCACCTCTCTACATCTCAGTTTTCCCACCTCTTAAATGAGACTTGTGCCCTCATGATGGGATAGTTGTGAGCGTTAAGTGAATTAATGCCTGTTAGGCTAATTGGAAGAGGACTTGGCAAGTCCTGAGCATCCATAAATACCCGTTATTCATTTTTTATTCTCTGGGAAACATCCATTTGACTCTGCCTTTCCACACTGTTTGTCATTTTTTATACCTTTCCACTAGGGCGCTCTTTCCAAATGTAGCCCTCCTTTCCTTCCCTCTCAGTCTTGCTCGCACACGGTAGGTTGAAGACCTGCACATTGCATGAACGTGGAGTGTATAGTGCATCGGGATCTCAGGAACTCACCTCTCCAGAGGAAACCCATGAAGCCCAAAGCACTGAGCTGGTTGCTGGAATGGCCCAGCTTGGCCGTGACCCAGCTTCCGGAATCTCACTCCCGGCTGCCTGGAATGTGCTGGGTGCTCTGCAGCGTGGCTCCAGACATGAGTCCCTACAGCGTTTCCAATGTGAGTTCCACTCTGGGTTTGGGGAGGCCCAGAATCCACGGATCCAACGGGAAAATGGAAAAAAAGCTGGATGCGTCTCATTCAGCCTTGCTGGCTGCTGACGGATCTGGGAGGGACCAGCACGCGCCTCTGGATTCCTGGCTATGAAAGGAAAGAAAATAGAGGCAAGCGTCTTGGTGAATATGTGGGAGGTTTTGTGGTTTCGTCCAAAGTCAGAACCAAAAGTGGGAAGGAGTCTCATGTCCAATGGCCACCGAGTTCGATCTAAATAAAAATTCTCATTTGTCAGTTGCTCAGCAAGCAAAGAGATTTCCAGATACTCAGGGAGAGGGGGACAGGAGGAGCTCATGCAAATTGGCCAGGGTGATGGGCTTCCGGGTCTCCAGTAGAAGTCCTTACGTAGCCCTACAAGATAACCTGTCCATTGAGGGACTGGAGGGCACAGTGTGAGTAGATCACGGATCATAAGTAAAACCATCCAGCTTAGAGGGGGTGTTGTAGTTGCCGTCTGCTCTGAAACCCGCCATTTCCAAATATGGTGACTTAAGCAGCCTTTATTTGTGATTCTGTGGGTCAGCAAATTTGGTTGGGCTCAGCTGGGCTGCTCTTCCCTGAGTATACGCGCTCATGCGTCTTGGTGTGCTGTGGGTCCATGAAGTGGCTTTGCTTCTGGACATTGGCTGGCTATTAGCCGGGCAGGGGGGACACCTGGGCCATTTATCTCCCATCATCCAGCGGGCTGGCCAGGGCTCATTTAGGTGGTGGTGGCAGGATTCGAGAGGACGCAACGTCTTGAGGGTCTGCTTGGCAGGGTATGCTCTTCAATGCTTCTGCCACGTTTTACCGGCGAAAGTAAGTCACGGGACCAGCTTAGATTCAGAAACACACTTTGCAAAATACACCCCAGCTCTTGAGGAAAGGAGCTGCTAAGTTCCATCACAAAGGAAGAATGGATATAGGGAAAGGTGGAAAATGGGGGCTAGCTTATGAACTGCTGCAGGTGGTGAGGGCTGGTCCACCAGCAGCCGCTAAGGGAGTGAGGCAGGTAAGGGATCACATGCTGACACTGAGCCCTGCCGAGGATCTGGGAGGCCAGGAACTCCACTTAGCCTCCTGGCTGCCTGTGGGGCGTAGAGGCAGCTCATATGAGGCTGAAGAGTGGGGGGTGTGGGGGATGGTGAAAGGAGTGAGGTTTAGGATCCCGATCCACTGTCCATGCGCCCTATGCTTTGGCGGAGTCAGTGAGTACGTCTTCACCTTAGTTTTCCCATCTGTAAGATGGGACCACAGTTTGTGCCTCATAGGGTTACTGTGAGGATTTCACATGCAAGGAGCCTGGCACATGGTGACTCTGGGAAAACAGCCACAATCATGAGTAGCATATCATAGCAGTCAAGCAGCCAATATCAGCATCTATGCTGAAAAATAATGAATAATTAGAATTTCTTCCTCACTAAGGAGCCTGGAATCTCTTACCCCAGAAGACAGAGTGGCGTCCCGGGTTCATACCGGCAAAGACGGACATCGCCACGATGCCAATACCAGTTTGGCTGGCCGAACTGGCCACTAGCCACTGAAGGCCTCTGTGGCCTCAGGCATATCCCAGGGCTCTGTGCGGCCCGGGGCTTCTGTTCCTCATGGCCAATGCCCACTGAGTTCTGGGTGACACGCTGGGCCCTAGGCCTGACCTTGGCCCCGCACAAAAGGCCAGGTACAGTGAGGAGGGGTCTTGCTGAGGAGGCAAGGCTCAGGGAAACCTCTCTGGCTTTGTGCTTTGACCCTGTTAAATGCCACTGTCTCTGGGCAGAGAACTATTAGGACAGAACAGAGAATTATGTAGCATTCTAGACCAATGATCTTGAACACAGTCTATATCTACACTATCCAGAATGGTAGTCACTGGCCACATTTGGGACACCTGACATGCAGCTAGTGCAACAAGAGACTGAATCTTTCCTTTTAATGAATTAGTTAATATGGCCACTCGTGGCCATGGTTACCATGTCGGACAGTGCGGTTCTAGGTGGGTAAGCGTCTGAAGAGAAAGGGCTTTGAGGACGCTGAACCACGTGGCCATCAGGTCTGAGTGGGTGGGGATGTCACCTGGCGCGGTGTTGGGAGCCCCAGGTGAGGGTCCGGGCGAGGGTCCGCTGAGCAGCTGGTGCTGGTAGAGCCTCTAGGCCTGTTGCTTAATTTGTCCCTCCTTATTCCCAAGTAGGGCTGAGCAAAGAGGGAAGCTCATGACTGCAGAAATTCAGAATCCGCCACGCTTTTAGCCTCTTGGTCTTCCTTGCTCGGTTCGGTGTGGCCCCTCGGGACTCCCTGAAAGGTCATGGTTCTGTATTCTGCTTTACCCTTTCTTGTGCCAAGGAAAACCCGACCTCAGCTGTCCAGTTGAGGAGAGAGGAGGGGACCTCCCGAGGAGGAGAGAAGGGCCTTCCCATATGGGGGGATGCTTTTCAAACAGGGTCCAATGTGGCTTTTGAAGATATTAACATTAGTTCACACACACAGGCACACAGACACGCAAATACATATGTACATACACACACACACAGTTTGTTTACAAAGGAGGTGACTTTTGAAGAGTTGGGACAGAAGCCCTAGTCTGGAAAAACTGAAGGTTTTGCTTCCACTTTAATTGGGTTCAAAAAAGATGACAACCCAAGTCTGCCTCAGGGTTTGCTCTGGAAACTCACACTGGAATTTATTTCAGGACCTTCCCCAAGTCACAGCAGAACGCTGCTTGCACAACCAACGGTGGATTTTGCCTAGACATTTTTTTGTTTTTTTTTTTTTTTTCTAATTGCCTTTTAGCTCCTGCAGGGATAAATGGCCCAAACCAATCACAGTCTTTGTACAAAAGCTGGAAGAAAAGGCTGCTATCTGCCCACCTCACCAGTCACTCAATCCCCTGATATTCCTTTAAGTTGGGAGTCTATTGCTGGGGAGCATTCTAGTATCCTTTAAAGCATAGAGTCTTTCTGGATCCTTCGATTAACGGACTGCGGTGGATACTAGTGGCTCCTGCATGGGCTTTCTGCAGTGGCACGGGCAAGATTCGTTTTCTGCTATCACCATGATTTACAAGGCTCACATAACCATGTAACGACTTGGTGATTACATGGAAAAGATCGTATAAATACATAGTAATTACAAGTTCATGCAGATTACTTGCTATATACATTTGAAGTTGCCGAGGAGTTCAAAGATTAATTAGCCTGTAACTGGCAGTATTTAAATCATTTTTTTCTCATAAACGAATACATTGAGGCAGACTTCAAGGCTGGCGAGGATGGGGATGTGATGAGTATGATCTGAAAAGAAAAAATGAAATTTGACAGGCATGGATTATTTAAAGCACGCATATGTGAGCTCAGCAGCCACTGCACTTTGATGCAAATCGTAGGGGAAAGAGCAGGGGGATGGTGGGTAGAGAAAGGTGCTGAACAAAGTAAGGATTTCCTGCTGGCGACTTGAAATTTAAACAAATAATCATTTAAATGGCGGCCCGGCATTACGTTCCGAGTTGTGTGCATTAATGTCAACATCTGGTACCAACATTTTGACAATTCTATTAAAATGCCCCAGCATTCCCTATCTAACACCTGTTAGCTCTAATTTTCTTTCCTGAGAAGCACACCAGTAGACAGGGTAGATTCCAAATCATTTATCACTTTTAAAGTGCTTCCATATGCGTGTTGGACCCAGCCTGGCCCTAGGCAAACGTTTTCTGAATGCATTAAAATTCAGGACTATTTTTTTTTTAAGTGTAGACACCAATGTTTCATTGAATTCATGTCTGGTAATTATTAGCTTAAATTATGGCTCACACATGACTTGACAAAGTGGACCATGAATTAAAACACACAGACACACACACACGCGTACACACACACAGACACACACACATGCCCGAACTCTTCAATAGATGCACCCAACTCGTACATTGCTCGTTATTGAGATGTCAGTCAGTAATCATTAGGCAAACACTCTTCATGGAGGGAACAGCTAAGAGGCCCAGGAGTCCCAAGAGACGATCTAAAAATGTCAAAAATGTTACAGTATAAATGAATGACACCAACAAGAGAACATGTGTTAGAGATGCAAGCAATTAGTTAATATATTACAAGTTTCAACCTCTGAGCAAAACAGGCAACAAAAATTTCCGCTTGACAAAAGGCTACAGATAAGATCAGGTTGATTCCCAGACAATACAAATCTCCCTGAATTGGAGCAACCCTCCAGCAGGCTGGGGTGGCCGGTGGGGGGGAGAGGCGGGGGGTGGGGGTCTCAGGGGTTTGTAGGGTTTGAGCCCCTGGACTAGGTCCTGCTTTGCCTGGAAAAGACTGGCTGGACTGCTGAGCTCTCACAGTGGAGTAGTGGGGTCTGACATGAAGGAGAATATCCGGGGACCCATGGATCTGGCTCATGAAGCTAGCTGCCTTCTCCTTCCTGGAGCTTCAGAATGAAATTTAGAAGGTCGAATGAAATCCTATTGCTGTTTTCAAAGGAAAAGAGGTGCCTGCAAAAGGTGACAGGGTTGGGGGATGTTATATGGGCAAATGCTTTATCATTGCTTTTCAGATTCGAAAAACGAAATATGGTATGTTGTGTAGTTTCCCTCTCTCTCTCCCTCTCTTTCTGATTCTTTCTCTCTCTCCCCCACCATATATGTGTATATACATATATATATTATACATGTATACTACATATACACACAGGTATACATACAGAAAAGATGTTTTAAGCAAAAAAAAATCCTCCCACATATATACACACCCAGAATATATGTTTTAAGCAAAAATACACACTATGTGCCCTTGGACTAAGGATTAGAATAGATCCCTTAGAAATCCCAAGGAAACATTGAGAATACAAGAAAAAAAGGAATGAAAACCTGAGTTCACCAACTCGATAAATGTAAAAAAAAATTTGTAGACAGTTAAAAATGTCCTCCCTTGTACACACGCACACCTACACTTTCACACTTCCTCTGTTTACTAAATAACATTTCAGCACAGTTTTCATCTTATAAGGAAAGTGTTTGAAACTTGGAATAAGTGCACTTAATTAAAGGAAGGCTGTGAAAATGTGCACTAATCTGATATGACTAATAGCAAAGTGCATGAAATTGCTAATTAGAATTTCATTAAAGGTGCTGCTTTATCAGACTGTGAATATCACAACCTTTAAAATTCTTTCAGGAGAGCTTAATTCCTTTTCAAACAGAAATATTCTTTAAAGACATTTGATTTGTTCTGAAGGAATTCATGGCTTAGGCTGGAACTTAAAATGTTGCCGATATTCCAGGAGGTGATATCAGAATAAGAATATAGATCAGGGACTTTGTTTCATTTGCCTGATGAATCCCTTCCTCCCCCATCTCTATGGATTATTCTTCAAAAACACAGTCATGAAAATAGAGTTGAGTCCTTGGTTTGATCCACTTGTAATTTGTTTTCTGCTGAAGCCAAACGGTTCTTCTCTCCCTTTCTTTCTATGACACACTCACACACACAAAAAAAAATTACTTAATAAAAATTTTAAGTCATTAAAAATCAAAATAAACATTGTGATTTTCACATTCATTAAAACAATAAAAGGGAAGAGACAATAAAATATGTTTTCTTTAAAGGAAAGAGCCACCCATTTAAAAAAAAAAACAACTTGCAACTTTCACTCTAAAATAAACCTCTTAAAATACTAATAACATTTTAATCACAAAATTGTACTTTTTAAAGTTAGAGAAATCCAGTGTTAACAACAGCAAATGCATTTTTACTCCTTTACTGACTTGCTTTTCTAGGTTGTAAGTTTTCTTATTTCACATTTTAATTATTCTCTGCACTAAGTCTGCATTTCAGTTTGTTTTTTTACCATTCAGATTTTAAAAATTCTACCTTTCTGGTCTTCCATCTTTTCTAATTTCAACCTTGTTTTCTGTCACTTCTCTTTATTTTCATATGCAGAAAGTTGCTGTTATACGTTACTCTCTCTGCCCACAACTCTCCCTGTTACCAATTGTATTTTTGTATTTGCTGTTTTTCCTGATGGTTCCAGAGTTCTTACAATTAGTAACCGGGTTCCTTTTAATATTCAAGCTTGATTGAACAGTTACATTTTGTTACTGAAAACTATTAATGTTAATGGAAACTACAGTTCACTCAAAGAAGCAGTTTACTTTTACAGAAGTTGTTAAAACCCAGCCTGGCTTCAAATTTGCTGAACACACAGGTTCACGGTGATGTAATTTTGCAGAATTGAGTATTTTAAATACGCTTGAAAAATGTTGGTTTAAAAGCTAATCAGTCATGTTTACCTGATGACCATATCTGAAAGGGGAGAAATGAGAACAGAAGTAACTTTATTTGAGAAGCAGTGTGATTTCTTTGGACATTTAAACAAATCTCAAGTGAGTTAATTACAGTTTGCACTGATTTTAGCCCCGGCAGGAGGAATTTTCATGGCATTTAGATAATTTATCAACTGGGCTACATAACAGATTAAAGGTTACATTTTCCTTTCCAACGTTTGGGAGGTACGTTTGTTCAGTAAATGCACTGATTTTAAAAGATCGGTCTAGACTCAAATGAATGAAAATTATGCTTGTTAACTGTAACGTCTGGAGTCCGAGGTGGGGCGTCAGCCTTGCCTATCCGCGGGCCACCGTAGTCAAACAAAGCTGCTAATTCGAATGTTTTAAGTTTCGAATTGAGAAATATTGTTCTAATATGGCAACAATGGGGCTGTTGTCCTTCCAAGCGCTCAGCGATGGCGAGCTCCTTACAGCTCGTTTTATGCAAAACGAATGGCAGGTAATTGTGATTTAATTCTTTCCAAGTAAATTACAGTGAGTGCGCGACACAAAGCCGAGGCGGACCCTCCTTTCTCTGTCAGCAGTTGAATTAATGATGGCAGGAGTAAAAACAGCAATCGTGCACAACAGCCCTCCCCGGTCCCCACCCCTGCCAAGGGGGGACCTGCCAATCAGGCCGCGCCACCACTAGGCTGGCAATCCTCGGGTCGCGGCTGCGGAGGTTCTGGCATGGAACGTTCGGCGACAGCGGCGGCGGCGGCGGCGGCGCGGGGGTCACGGGGCCCCGGGCGGTCCCCGGACCCCAAGGTGCCCGCAGGAGGCCGCGGCTGCGCGCTACGGGCCGGGGCGTCCCCCGCGTGGCCACCCTGGGCTCCGTGGGCCCCCGGGGCAGGCCTACGGAGCGGGACGTGCTCCGCCGTGTTGAGGGCAGAAAGGGTTCCCGATGGCCTGGCCGTACCGGCCTCCGGGAGAGGCGCCCGGGGGGGCTCCGGGAGGAGGCGGCGTGGTAGAGCGAGAGTGCGGGGAGGCCGGTGGGCGAGCCCCCGTCTGGGCGCGGCGCTGGAGGGCTTGGGGCGCGCCTGCCGTCCGAGGGGCCCCGAGAGCAGAGCTCGCCAGTTCTCACCCCCAGACCCGTGGCGCCAGGGTTGGGAGGGAGACCCTGGGGGAGTCGGGGGTGTGTGTAGGGGGGCGGTGGGAGGGGCGCTGGTGGGGTTCGCTTGGAGACTGCAGTCTGGGGCGCAGGAGGGGGCTTTGGGATGCGGCTGGGCACCAGGCACCCGCTAGGCACCAGGAGTCATTGAACTGACCGCTAACGTACTGTGTGAACTGGTCACTTCCCCTTGTACTTGAAGGAAGTGCGAACTTCTTGCTGAGGCCCACAGGGGCTGTGTCCTCTCGCTCCTGCCTGGGGTCTGCTCCAGTGAACTCTGGGTTCGTCAGAGGTGGGGTCCTGCCTGCCTGACCTCAGTGGGTCACTCGGGGCAGGTTACTTCACCTCTCTGGCCTCAGTCTCCACAACGGAAACGGAGTTGATGCCGGAGCGCCTACCTTCAAGGGTCCTCATGGGCACGAAATGAACTGCCAGTCCGTGCCGGGGGAGGGTGGGGCGTTGGGCACAAAGTGGGGTACCTACACCCGTTAACAAGTCTCACCCCACCTCAGCCACCTACACCTGCTCCCTTTTCTTGGATCTCCCTAAATGCGTCCCTGCCCAGGGGCCTTTGGCCCTTTCCAGGCAGAGTTCTTCTCTTCTTGTCCTGGTTTCTGTTTTAGGCTTCGGCTTAGCTGTCATCTCGGAAAGATCTTCATGATCCCCTAGCTCTGCCATACCACCCATCCCTACTACAAAGTTCTTTGTTTTCTTCCTAACATTTATCCTGATCGGAATGTTTTTCTCTATTTGCTTTGTGTTTATTGTCTATCTCCTCCCCCAAATCAAAGTTCTGTGAAGGAGGGGGGGGGAGTCGGGGCTGGGGAGCCGGACGGGGGCTTCATTGGTCTTGTTCTCTGTAGGTCCCAGCACCCTGATCGGGGCCTGCTCTGGAGTAGGTTCTCAGTAAAAACTGTAGATGGATGGATGGAGACACGTCTTCTGACCTGTACATCAAAGTGGTTGAACCCCGTCACGCCTAAGTGCCTTGTTCTGTTGTTTAACAAGTGAAATTGTCAGCATGGACATTCTATTTTTTTAATTAAAAAGATAATTTTTTGAAAGAGATCGAGGTTTTCAAAAGGGTGTCATTTAGAGACTTTTCTCGGGTGTCACCGTCTTTCTACACTGACTAGTTTTGACCAGGAGGGTGGAACAGATCTATTCTGAGCTCTCCCCAAGGCTACCTGATCTTAGGAGTTCCTGATGGAGGGGTCTTCTGGATTTTCTTCCCAGTCCTGATTTCTTCCGTAATTGCCCAGGAACTCTGCAGACCTCCACCCGACAAAGCAGCAGTGCCCACCCTCATCTCAGGCTACCTGCCCTTCACTGTCACCCGCCCCCCCCAAACCCCCACAGTGACCACCTCATTCAGCACTGGCCTTCTGTCCTCAGTCTCTCTAGCCAGATCTTTTCCACTCCTTTGATGGGTCCTCTTCGGCATTAGTCACAGATTCACACCTGCTTTTCCTCCGCCCTGGAGCAAGCTGCTTCCAGTAGACTGGCTCCTGCCAGGCTTGCCAGACCTCGGGAAGGAGCCAGTGAGGGCCAAGAGAGGCTGGGTGGGGCGGCCTTAGCAGCTCAGCTCATACTGCGGAGATGAGTCAACTAGCTAGGGTCACTGTGTCTCCGTGCCCAAGCTGGAGCCAGGGACAGTATTTCTGGAAGGCCTGTTCTGGCTTCCATCTCACACTGTTTATTTACTTGGTGAGGTCATTATAAACAATGAGTATCTCGGACACGGTCACCATACTTGGTGGCCAAATCCCATCCCAGGGTCATAACTTTGGGAAAGAATTTGAGGACCTCTGGCAATCCAGAGACCAAGAAGTACAAACACTCAACTCCTTCATGCATCCAAAACCCATTGCTTTAGCACCTTTGGACTGAGAACAGTGACAGACGCTGAGGACATGGATACAATAATAGCTTGTACTTGTTTAGCCCTTTTCTTGGGCCAGGAACTGTTCTAGGTGCTTCGTGTGTGTTCCATCGCTTACGGTGTTATAGCTCTATGAACCAGATTCTATTATTATCCCCGCTCTGCAGAAGGAAATGGCCCAGAGCACGCACACATGGAGTTCACCAAGGTTACACAGCCGAGGAGCGACAGGGTCAGGACTTGGAACCAGAGCGTGCGCTCCTAACCACCACGCTGCACTCACCCTCTGTCTTTGTCTCCAGGATGGATGAGACACAGCCGTGGCCCTCCAGGGGCACAGAGCCTCAGAAGCAAACAGAGAAGGTAGGTGGGCGGGTGTGGTTCTCCACGCAGGGTGTCAGTCATGATGCCTCATGGTTCTTACTGTCTACCCCAGGCCCCGTTTTCATTGTTTTATACATATCACAGCACTCTAAGAGGGAGGAAGTGACATCAGCTCCATTTTATAGATAAGGCACGGAGAGGTCCAGCAGCTTGCCAGAGGTCTCAGGGATATTAAATGGCAGGGCTGGGATGGGGATGCGCAGAGCCTTGCTCCAGGGCCCGTGCTTTTACCCTGGCGCCTGGCTGGCCATCCTCAGGCAGCCAGGAGGGTGCTGAGCCCCTTTGCAGGCGTCATAAACACCATGTTTGGAGCCAGAGGACCTGCCTTGGAGCCCTGGAGCTGCTCCTTGCTAACTGAAACCCTCATAGGGCCACTGCGAGGATTAATAAAGATCATGTCTGGGGACAGGTGCAGTAAAGTGTGAACTGCTGACCTCGGAAGCCTTGGGTTCTATGGGCGCTGGTCCACGATGGGCACAGTGGGGCAGGGGACAAGGGACAGTCTTACCTCACTGATCTTGCCATGCAGCCCGGGAAAAATGAAGGGGTGATAATTTTAATTGCAAAACAAATGACTGCAACGAGATGTTTGGTGATATAGATGAGTACACAATTAAGTCTGTTACTTTTTGTTTGTTTGTTTCTAAGAGGACTGTATTCAAAGGCCTCTGGGCCAACCCTTGAATTTGGCCTCATGTCAGACTCTGTGCTTGGTGCTTCATGTGCTCAAGCCCCCAGGCCTTCCAGCAGCCCTGTGAGGAGAGACAGACATTATACCCATTTTACAGGCTAAGAAACTGAGCCAAAACAATGGGCTAATAAATGGAGGAGCTGGTTGAAGCAAGTCTAGCTGACTCCGGTCCTGCCAGGGCTACAGTTCCACAGGTCCTAGTGCGGGGCTGGCTTGGGGGGCTGCCCTCATCCCTTCTGGTTCTGAACGTTTGGTTTTAGCTCTACTTTGTCTGAAGGTCCCCCCACCTCAGCCTTGGTGCTTTACAGCCTTCACCCCTTCTCAGTCTTGGGGGTCTGTTAACACAGTGCCTCTGTTGAGTACCTAAGGGCTGATTCTGTATCCCCTCCACACACCCGCCCACCAGCCTGCTGCTTTTGTGAAAGAGCCTGAGGTTGACACTTTGGCCTTGTACAAGGCGCCAAGTGAGGACATGTCCCAACCCTAGGACCTCCCCCTGGGTGAAACAATCCCTCAGGGGGCCAGGGTGGTATGAGGAGAGATGTTGTTACCTTGGTTCCCCTCCATGTTCACCCTAGAAGGGCTTCTGGCCCCATTAACTAAATTTATTTTGGCTTAAATGATGCAGTCGTTGGAGAGAGTAAACACCCTACCTTCATGAAACCATCAGGCAGATTGAAAGGGGTTGGAAAGGGGACAGCAGCCACCCATGGGGTTACAGAATCCCCTCTACATGGGCTGATAGGCTCTGTCATGGTGTTCCCAGACAACAGGTGCCTGGTGACTCTGCTGGTGTGTCCACATATCCGTGGGAGGATTCCTACTGTCAGGCTATGGCTGTGGTGGGAGAGGGGAAGGATGGGGCTCGAGGATGAAGGATACACATTCTCCATTTGCCTTGATCTTATGGGGTGGCCTAGAGCAACTGCACGCTGAATGGGTGCATGCATGGGTTTGTGGGAGGAGTGCAGACCTATGGGACTGGCGTAACAGCGAGGGATGGGGTCCCTGCTCCCCTACTTACTAGCTGTAGGGGGGTGGGAAAATTGTGTCACTTCTCTGTGCCTCCATCCATAAAGCTGAGCTAATAGCTAGATGAATCTTACAAGGTCAGTGGGAGAAGTTAACTATGCAGTACATGGAAAAGCATTTTAAAGGGTGTCTGGCACAGAATAAACAGTCCATAAATGTTAGCTGACCCTAAAATACAAGCTCAAAATGATCTTCTTCATCTATGTCTGCTTTCCCACTCAGAACCTGTAATGCACAGAGTAGTAGAACGGAGTGTCTTTTACACTGTATGTTGATAAGAAAGGAGCATGTGGTGTATTCTGGGTTTCACCATTCACTACTGTGTGATCCTTTATAAGTGTCTTACTCTTCTGAACTTGTTTCCTTATCTATAAAATGGATAAAAAATTTAAAAAACTACTACTAATAGTGAGGAGTAAATGAATAATGTACATAGAGCAAATAGTATTTATTAGTCTTCTTTATAATCTGCCTCCCCACTCGCCCCTCCATACAAGTCCTTTCTGAAAGGCTCTGAGATACCTTCTCCAAACCGGTTTTCCTTCCCACCTCGGTACCTTGGAAGACTACATTTCCAGCCTCCAAAGCAGTCAGGGGCCCCATGTGACTGAATTCTGGCCAGTGGAATGTGAGTAGGGGTAACATATGCTGTTTCCAAGCCTGGCCCCTAAAGTTTCTTGTAAGATAGTTCATGCTCATTTTCTCCTCCATCTGCCAAAAGGATGTCACTGTTCATGGTGACCATGGAGGCCACATGTTGGAGATGGTGGCACCCGGGCCAGCAGAGCCCTGCTCTTTGCCCCTATGCCTTATCAGCCTGCTTGGACTGTGACATGTTGCATTAAGCCATTGAGACTTAGGGGTTTTTATTGCAGCGAGCAATTAGTCTCTCCTGACATATACAGAATCTTCTAGATTTTTGCCTCTACCTAGAGGTTTGCCTCTACCTAGTATAAACACCTGCATACATTCATGTAAGATTTTGCACAGATTTGAGAGACTTCCTGGCCCTAGATGTGGACCTGGACTGCCTTAAGGAATAAGAACCAGCCGGATGTGGTGGTGAAACAGCCTTGGGAATGCCTTTCCGGCTTCAGGGCCTCCCTGCAGCAGAGAGGTCCCGAAGGCTTAAGGGACTTTAGTGACAGCCTAGTCTCTCCAGGAAAAGGTCACCTATGCAAACGTTGCTAACCATACAGACGCTCTCCGCCATGCTGCAGCTGCCAAAGTGCTTGCTCTCATCCTCGTGGTGCAGCCGACAGATCTGATGGGTACAGGTCACAGGACCAGGCAGCGGCTGCTCCCGGCTGAGTCCCTGGGATTCTGCTCAGGGCCCCCGTGTGTACAGCCCTGCCCTCCTCCTGCCCTGGAGGAGATCAGCTCTCCTGGTCCTGCCTCCCCTGTTCTGGTGAGTGCTCCCTGGAGGCCCGGACTGGACGGCTTCGATCCCGTTTCTCCTCACAGCCTGCTGCAGTTGGGCTGAGCCAGACATCATGTGTTTCACACAAGGTTGTTGATTCCGGGGGGTTAAGAACCATCTTTATGGCGTTCTAGAAAAGTAAATACTCTCAGCTTGGCTGAGGGCTCTAGTAATTAAGTATAAGATAATATTAGTCATATAGTGAGTGAGTGTTCTGTTCCAGATCCACCTATTATTTCATTAAATCTTTTCCCATAATCCTATCAGATGAGTTTGAAATAGCCCATGTTCCTGGTAAGGATCTGGAGGTGTGGAGATGCCTGGCCGAGGGCCCAGAGCTCCTGGGGGTACTTCAGAGACTCTATGGGGGTCGATCCAATGGCAATGACAGCAGACTTTTTCTAAGCCCCTACTATGTGCTACCGAAGTGCTTTTGATGCATTATTGCATTTGGTTTTGAGAATTTCCTCATGGAGTGGGGACTACAATTATTTCCATTTAGAGATGAGACCCCCCCCCCCAGCTCAGTGAGGCTAATTTGCTCTTTTCCCCAAGGTTGTATGGTTAAAAGAGGTGGTGCCTGCATTCAAATTCAAGTCACTCTTCAGAGCTTTGGCACTGTCACTCCCTTGGCACCTGGCAATGCCTCCTTTCCCCTCTTAGAATGTGCAAGAGGGACCAGTAAATACTCTTCCAGGGGCTGGGACTTGGGGTGGGGAGCCACCCTGCAGTCAGGTTGACAGCCTGCTTGAGTCTACACCTACTGTGTGCAAACTTGTGTCCTAAGCCCTGCAGTGATACAAGAGAGGCCCCGACTTTGCCAAGGAATTGACATGTCGGTGGAGAAGAGAGCTGTGTACCTGCACCTGCTGCCTGAAGAAGTCAGTGCGGGGGAAAGCGGATGCTGCAAACCTTGGAGGAAAAAGTGCAGCCACGTAACAGCAGGGATGGCTTTACCAAGGAAGTGGGGTTGAGATGAGCTTTGTCTACCTGGATTTAAATCCCAGCTTGCTGAATGACGTTGGGCGAATTAGCTAGCTTCCCTGAACCTCCGTTTTGCCGTCTATAAAACGGAAATAACAAAGGTCCCCACGTTACAGGATTACAAGCATTAAATAACATTTAAAGTGCTTGGAATGAAGCTCTATGTTATGTACTTATTTACTCTTCTCATCACAAGGACTAGGAGAGTTTCAGTAGGTGAAGAAGGGAGGTTTAACACACCCAGTGAATGGCATGAGTGAGGCTTGAGAGTTGAGAAGCAAAAAAGTGTTTTAAAGAATAATAAGTAGCTCAGTCTGGCTGGCTGATACGGGGGGCAATAGATGAGGCTAGAAAGAGAGTCTGGGCTGAGATCGATGCGTATATACTTAACAAATGGCAATGGGGAGGCACTGAATGTTTCTGAAAGGGGGAGTTTCGTGGCCGGAACTAGGTTTGGCTGCGGAATGTAGGGTGGATTGGAATGGGGGTGATGGGGGAAGCCCAGTGGAAAACTATGGTCATGGGCCAGGGGAGAGGGTGGTGACAGCTGGCAGGGCAAAGAAAGCAGGAATTGGCACCCACAGTGGAGGAAGTTGTGTTAGACACACCCTTGGCCAAGGGCAGGTGTGCCATGGGCAGTGGTGCCCTATCCAGGTCCAATTGAGTGGCTCGGAACCCACAGCAGGACTTTCCTTTTGCAGGCCCAGGCTTGGGATGCAGCCCTCTGGGCACCACATCGTCAGCGGCATCTTTGTGCCAAGAAAGACATAGATGAAAGGTAGAGAAATGGGGGACCAGCCTCCTTTGGTTCTGAGAACCCAGGGCACCTGGTGTCCTCAGGGTGGAAAAGCTCTTTGATGGTCCAAACACAGGTTCCAGAGGACTCATTTGGAATGGAAAAGAGAGGCAGGCTCCTTTTGGGTTTCCATCGAGGTTTTTGAAGAGCAAAGCAGGCTGGTGAGATCTGCCTGTCTGAGGCGTGTTTTATATTAACCTTTCCATGTAATCCTGAAAGCCCACCTAATCAATTGAAGATCATAAAATATTAGACTTAATGCTGCAAAGTGCTGCTTTTTAATTCACATAACAAGCTCCTAAATAATTCAAATAGCAAACAGACCCTGTAAGTCAATGGTGGGAGGCTGCTTGGATCAGCGGGAGAGTGTCAACACATGCCACATTTCCCGGATCGACTCCATTTCAAGAACCCTATTAAGTTAATTGCCGGTTTCTGACAGCAGAGAGCATGCTGGGAGCACAGCAAGCTTTATTAGCCTCTGTGGCATCTGGAGACATCAGCCATTTTGCCCCTACTTGCAGGCACTGGGAGCAGCCTGGAAAAAAGTAAATCAAATTATGAGACAATAAATGCTTTTGGCAACATGTGGGTATCTGATTCATTGGTGAATCCAAAAGAGTCAGTGTCAGTCGCCGGCCTGTTAAATTCTTTACGGCAACACCGTCTCTATATTGCAAGAGTCTCAGGAGATGCCACGGGGCAGTCGCACCCTTTAGTTGCATCCTTTGGCACCGCAGGTAAACCTGAATGCAAGCCAGGGTTTCCCACCTCCCAAC